GATATTGATTTCCAATCGACATATTGATGGGACGGCATCAGCATTTCCCATTTTTCCTGAATAGGAAGCCGCCATATTGGATTTAAAAATGGTGTCGGATATCGGTTTCTGGCCTCTAGACGCCATCCCGATTCCAAGAATACTATTATTGATGGGTATTTGACAGTATTTCCAACTTAATCTAAAATCGGAAGCCGCCATCATGGATTCCAAAATGGTGTCGCATATCAATTTTCGATCTGTAGACTTCATACCGATTACAAGAAAAAATCTAATATTGTTGTGTATTTGACTGTATTTCCACTTTTTCTTAAACTGGAAGCCACCATATTGGATTTCAAAATGGCGTAGCATTTCAATTTTCGATCTGTAGACGTCACCCCTATTAAAAAAATACCCATATTGATGGGTAAACAAACCACCCGACAATGATAAATTTACATCCACGTGCACAGATCTGAACGGAAATGAACTGAGTGTCATAAAAACTGCACAAATTTGGATCGAACAGCTTTGCTTCAAGGCATGCAAAAGTTAGTTCATTTGATAATGAAAGAAGAAATGAACACGAGTCAAGCCAAAACAAACAGCATGAAAACTGATTGAAAGTGGTTCTGTTGATGTTGACGGGGATCTGCTCGAAGAGAAGACAGAATGACTTTCAATTGAAAGTGATGGTTGGCAGCTTCATCGTCGCTTGACGATTTTCGATTGAAAGTGACTTTGTGGGGCCCTGGTTATAACATAGAGGTAACTCTAAGACCAGAAAGTCCCGAAGAAACGAGCTCAACTTTTTGGCTCAGCTCTGGTACTACCTTCGGTCCCAAGCTAATCGATGCACCCCTCGAACATAGGAAAATCCACGAACCCCTCATTTTATCTGTCAAACTTTCATAGGGAATCAAAGCAAACATAGTGTAGTACTGGAATTTATACTAGAATAGGATACGTTGATCGATTTGCTTGAGACCAATAGGCTAGTCAAGTAGTGAGCCAATTTAAAATCGTTAGTTTCGTATGGATTGTTGGTTATAAGGCAACTCAAGAGCAAATTTTCATTATGTCAAAAGTCACATTGACACCTATTCCTATTTCCAATTAAACGCATATAATCTCATAGTGATAGCAATGCACAGTGGTCCAGGATTAGAATTTAGCAAGACAAAAGTCCATAGTACTTTTGTCTTAGGATTTAGGCGTTTGGTGTCTTGAGTGAAGTTTTTCTTCTTAAAATTATCCTTCTTTTGGTGCCTTCGAACATTAGGGTGATCCTTTAATTTTTTGAAATCCAGAAACTAACTTTCTTATTTAAAAAAATAAAGACACACATTGTTGGTAGAAGTTGTTGGTGAACTAATTTCAAGCAACTTTGTTGCGAAAAAGCTTTTTTGTATCTCTTACCGTTTTCATTTTAGAGAATTTTTTTTCTGAACTGCGTTAGGGTGCACCCAAAAAAATCAGTTTTCAACTTTAACTTTTTTATTTCAAATTTTCCGAAAAACTGTAGTGAAAGAACTTTTAGAACTCGTTAAAATACACAACTTTGCTCAAGAAATAAAATCTGTATCTCTCGACTATCAAAAGATATTGAAGGTTTTCTATACAAAATAGGCCCTTTTCAAATGTCAATCACTCAGAATGGGGCAAACGTACAGACATTTTTTAGCCATATTTTGAAAGGGCATAATTTAGTGTATATTATATGGGAAAACTGGAGATAAGTTTTTTTCTTTATCTTAAGTTGAACTTATTTAAGTTCACTCACTTTTGCAATTGAATTTGGTTATAACTCCTTCTAAAATAGAGGAAGAAACGATATTTTAAAAGAAAAACGTGTGAAGACTTTCTATTACCTTTTTATGAAAAATTATAAATTAACAGGAAACAGTCAAGAAAAGGTTATGAAATGACTGCCCAAAAAATGTTAGCTTCTTGTAATATAGAAAGTTGTCAAGTAGGTTTGAAAGGAGACCATCATTTGAGTACGTCGTGTTCAGTATTCGTTCAAGTTTATGTATGTTATGTTTTTCTTGCTTATCGAAGTGTTATTATTCCTTATTAATTAATCAATTTATTTAATTAAAATTAAAAATAATATTAATCTAATCCGCCAGCAGATATTTCGCATTATCTGGTAATTCTAAAGTAGATTGATTTGGTGAAGCTCTATTTCTAAGGGAAATCAGGGGGTCAGATGTCGAAAGCAACCTCAAAAATACATCTTCAATATTAACAAGCCTATCGATCTTTCGCGCGTGAAATTTTCGAAATTTCCTAATCGACTTATTACGCTTTTCCTCCGCTTCTTCGCTGCACATGCTAATTGGTAGTATGGTGTGGATATTAGGATATCCGCTAAGTCTTTATATGCAATTTCCAGTTGCAATTGTGCAGACATTTTCACAAATCGAACTAATAACAATAACCTCGTGTTTTGTAACCAGCCTGCTATGCTAAACACGTTCTGAAACCACTGTCATAAGCAGACAACTATTTAACTGTTGTTTAAACCCAAACATTGCATTAGATCCAATGTAATAAAGAAAGATCCTCTTCGTCGATTTTCTCATTTTAGCTGTCATTTTTGCTGTTTACAACGCGCAGTGCGATAAAGGTAGTTATTATCTACCATCTCATACCCAAAACAGGACAAGTAACGGTTTTGTAGCCAAGTTATCAACAAAAGAGAAAGCCGACAAAGAGAATCTGTCAGTGTAACATTGGACCTGATGCAATGTTCGGGTTGATTTACGTTGCGTTGGAAACGCACGTAAAAAAGCATGTACCGTTAATATGACCGCATTTAATCTGAATACTTTTCAGTTTGACCTGGCTCCAACGTCATTCAGCGTGTAGAATGAAGAAAACCAAATAGGTATTAGGAAACAGAACGCAGAACATAATGAAAGAAGCACATAAGCTTATTATCGGAACGCTCTTTCGGAGCACTGATAGTGTTATATTATAAATAACCTGAATTCAGACGAGAGAAGAAGGAGAAAAATAACAAGACATGAAATAAGGAAAAAAAGTACACTAAGCAAAGGATTAGAATTACTAACACATTTAAATTTTCCGTTTGGGTGGTCCTCTGAAAACTATTTGTTGACTGCTTTCGGTTAATTTACAATTTTACATAAAAGGGTATTAGAAAGACTTTTGTAGTTGAGAAAAACACACGTTTTTTATTTTAAAATATCGTTTCTTCCTCTATTTTAAAAGAAGTTATTACCAAATTTAAATGCAAAAGTGAGTGGACTTAAATAAGTATAACTTAAGATAATGAAAAAATGTATCTCCAATTTTCCCATATAATATACAATAAAGCATGTCCTTTTAAAAGATGGCTAAAACATGTCTGTACGTTTGCCATATTTTGAGTGGTTGACATATGAAAAGGGCCAATAACGGCGCCGGTGGTGTAGTGGTAAGCGTGATTACCTCTCACCCCAGCAGGCCTGGGTTCAATCCCAGTCGGCACCGCCGGGATGTTCTGAGGCATAACATCTCTGATCACGCCTTCCTTCGGATGGGAAGTAAAGCCGTTGGTCCCCGGTTCATGAGTTGATGGGTCGATAGGTAGGGTCCAGGTGTGGGAGCTGCCTTCCTGGCACGTCGGTAGCATTGGTGCTCAGGACGGAAAACAAGATCGACGGAAAAAAACAAACCAAAGGAAAAAAAAATGAAAAGGGCCTATTTTGTATAGAAAATCTTCAATATCTTTTGATAGTCGAGGGATACAGATTTTATTTCTGGAGCAAAGTTGTGTATTTTTATGAGTTCTAAAAGTTCTTTCGAAATAGTTTTTACGAAAAATTTGAAACAAAAAAAGTTAGAGCTGAAAAACTGATTTTTATGGGTGCACTCTAACGCAGTTTAGAAAAAAAAATCTTTAAAATGAAAACGGTAAGAGATACAAAAAAGATTTTTTCAACAAAATTGCTTGAAATTATATCACCAGCAACTTCTACGAACAATGTGTGTCTTTATTTTTTTTTAATTAAGAAATTAAGTTTTTGGATTTCAAAAAATTAAAGGATCACCCTAATGTTTGAAGTTACCAAAAGAAGGATAATTTTAAGAAGAAAAACTTCACTGACGATACCAAACGCCTAAATCCTTAAACAAAAGTACTATGGACTTTTGTCTTGCTAAATTCCAATCCTGGACCTGGGCATTGTAGGCAACCTGGGGTCATTCATAAAATCGTATTGTTCAACATTTGAATGAATTAAAATAAATTTAGCGAGGGTCCTTTTTTACCCCATACTCCCCTATATAGTACAATCTGAATTTCCCTAATATCTCATGAACTGTTGTTTAAAGACGTACATTTCTAAAACCATGCATAAAGTGCTCATGTTTTACGAAAAATAGACCTGTAAAAACATTTCCTCAAAAAAATAGGAAAAATGGGGTTAAATGGTCCATTACACATACCAAATTCATTGTTCATGACTGGAATTCAGCGTGCTTTTGAGATTTTGAATTTTGGGTAATTTTGTACCAATTTTTACCCATAGTGCAATGGTGTGTTATGATGCAACCCAACTTATGTTCAATTTTTACACTGCCGTACTCTAGCGGAACATCAATCTATCCTCTTCAGAGCTTTCGCTTGCTAATCAATCATCGCACTAAAGCTTCATGTTGATATTAGTATATCATTTCCTACCAACTCTGAATAAATTTCATATGAAACACGCATATGAAAATTCACATATCAAGAGCCACATGTACCAAGCACTGCTATATCATGAACAACATGTGAAAAGGGCATACAAGCTTATTGTTAACAAACCTTTGAAGGCCCTTTTCTCACCAACCGAGGGTCACTCACGCAAATCAACAACATCAGGAGAAAGCTTCCCCTACCCGGTGATGTTGATGGTTTGAGTGGGCGTCCCTGGGTTGGTGAGAAAAGGGCATACAAAGCTTTGTATACAAAAAACTTGTGTGCCCTTTTACACATGTTGTTCATGATCGTTTGCTACCGTGCTGATAAAATAAGTGGACCGCTGAAAAAAATACGTCGAGCTTCCTAAAATCACATTTTTAACCAAATACTGGCTTAGCAGCAGTACACCGCATCACTGAAGTGTTAAACGAAACAGGGTTGTACATTTCTACAGATGCTCTATTCAGGTTTGGAGCTCAGAATCTTGAAATTATACTTTCTGAAATCATCCTAGTGGTGAATCATTGTTGTCATCAGATATGTCCAGTCCAATTGACATAGTTTAAGTGTGTTTCCAGATCTGAAATGATTGCTTATTTTCTGATTTCATTAATCATCTTGTGACCAACGAAAAATACAGCTAAAAATAAAATCGTTGGACGGGTCTTAGTACAAAATTTGGATCAAACTTTTAAATCCGTTCTGATTTTATTATATGTGGTAGCTAGAGAAACATATTTTTTGCTATCATTTTCTTCCACGAATTTTCGCTTTCGTTTAGTAGATTGTTCTATTTATATTTGGTTTCCTTATTAAAATTGATTTTACCTTTACGACTGTCTTTGGAACTTTTTTGTGTTTACGCATCTCCCTTCGACTACAAAACAAAGGTAACAATTCTAGATTTCTTCGTTAAATATGAAAATGACTAAATTTGTAACAACTTAACTAAATGCTACTAGGTATTCACTAATCTTCTGTGTGTGCAAAACGTGCGATAAAATCTGTCTCATGTTTTGTAACCATAAAGCCATCCTCCGTTCACCGTTGTAACAAAACTTATCGTAATCACCCTATGTTTAGTTCTGGTTGCTTTGGCTATTCCCTAAAACTTTTACTCGTAGGCTCTTCCTGTCTAACTTAATCGTAGTTTTGAAACTAGTTTTAACTTGTAGTTTACTTTCACTTGTTTGTTGACTGTTGCTACCTCTTGCTAACTTTAACTATAGTGCGTTTTCACATTGGTCATGCTTGCTTCCTGTTTTCCGCCTTCCTCTGCCGCCCCCCCTACCTTTTGCTCCACTCGATTATAATCACATTGGTGATACTGGTGAACATGCACACATCACATCTGAGTCTTAATTCTCAGAGACGATCTTTATCGCGGTCGAAACTCATTGCCTTGAAGACGGAACCGCGTCTTTTGCTGCCGCTGCTGCTACTGCTGCTTCCCATATTTACGCTCATCCCTCGCCGCAGGTTGTGCTGATCCAGACTTGAAGCTCGGGGCCGCCTTAGCACTTCCAGCTCCGCTCCGCTTCCTTCCGTATCCGTTTCGCTACGTTTCCGTCGTCTGCGCAGTAAACCATCGCTCTCGTCCAGATCGCTGGGGAAGTCCGTGCTTACGCTTTCCCGCTTGTGCAGTTCCGCCGCCAGCATTCGAACTTCCCAGTCACTGTGATTCATCTCCTCTTCCTCATCGTCATCATCGTCGTCGTCGTCGTCGAAGTCATCGGCAAACTCATCCGCACTACTTAGACTACCCTGATTCTCCACCAGCTTCCCAGATTCACTAGCAAACTCATCTTCCTCTTCTTCCTCCTCTGCTTCACATGCTCCCTCTTCCTCCTGCTCGCATTCCTCTTCTTCTTCATAGTTATTGTCATTCTCCGACTGGGACTGATCCGAGCTGGAGCTGTTATCAATGTTAACGATCACACTGTCCGAGACGATGTTTCCGGTGAGTTCCGATATCACAATGTCACGGTAGGGGACACGGACCCGTTGCTCCGTGAAGGAACCACTGCCACTGCCGACGCTGCCACCACCCGGAGAGGAAGACATGCGCCGTGGCGGAATGGGTGGAGCTTGCCGGGGAGTAGTCGACGGAGGCGGTGGAGGAGGTGGTAATGCCGTCGTTGGCGGGGAGTCACTTCGTTCGAAGCTGTCCTGATCGGTGCTTTCGCCCCAGGTGGGACGATTACGCAACGGTCGATGCCGTGGTGAGCTACGGGGTTTTCGGGCGCGGCTTACCTTCTGGCTGCGGGGGCTGTCCGAGTCCGAGTGCGGTGAGGAAGCGAATATCGTGTCAAGCGAGTCGCCGCGCTGGATTCGGTTGGAAGGGAGAGAATAAAAAAATGATCGTATTAGGTTGGAATTCATAGAAAACTTTTGTAAATCGAGGGATTCTTTGAATATTAGGAAGAATTCAATGCTTCCAGTTGGGATTAAAATGTTACTGTAATGACGGTAAGCTCCAACTCGGATTATCTTTTAATAACGGCCCTGACTGGAGGATCTGTAAATATTGGTTAAGGATCGTATTGATTAACCGAACAAGTTTGAGATTCGGGATCGGGATTTAATACGGGGATAATACCGGTTGGAGCTTACCACCATAAAAGAATGTATAATGTGATTCCTTGTAGCGTTTTTTTTTTGCATTTCTCTTCGCAATTTCACAAGTCTCTCTGCATCTCTCTTAAGTAAGTGTCGGACTAACATTCCTTTCCCATCCCCACCAGATGCAAGGGCGTGGCGAGGACCGCTCTAGTCTGTTGGAGGGAGACTCATCCTGTATCTAAGAGGCAGTGGTTAACCACAAATCACTATCTAACAGCAACGGATGAAGGTGGGTCTCCTCCTTAACAACAGTTTGGAGCTCGTACCATCTACGACATTGTGCATCCTGGTTTATGCTATGCTATACTAGGGGAAATGGCTCTAATGTTGGCCTATGGATATAAGGTTGGGCCCATCGCTAAAAATCTGCTATTTATAAATTTTATCTAATCCGCGTCTGAACGCGTCATTGTGACGGTATTAATGGATATTTTTGGTCGCTATTGAAAATTTAGTCGATTGCTGAATTGACATATGGACCCAAATTAAGGACATTTAGGCCGACGTTCCCCTACTCTTCGTAATTTCAGAAGTCAAAATATTATGATTTTTTTAATGCAAATAGCGGAAACTAGTATTTGTTCAGAGTTGCAGGCACATGCTATACTATTTAAAATCAACATGAAGCTTTAGTGCGATAATTTATTAGCTAGAGGAGCTAGTGATAAACGTTGCAAGAACTATTCCACAGTCGCACGTGGACAGTATATGAACAAGTCAAACGCGCACTCTTTTGCCTGTGGATTTGAGGATGTATGCGCTAGGTAATGGAGTGTGCGTTTGATTACTAATGTTGCATTGATGGTCCTTCGCTCAATTCCAACTTCTGTTTAATTATCACACTGCCGTACTCTAGCGGAACTATCAATCTATCCTCTTCTGTACTTTATCTGGCTAATGTATTATCGCACTAAAGCTTCATGTTTATATTACCGTATGCGTGATAATGTTTGCACCATCGTACAAATAAGGCTCCCGTTTCACCTGTGCATACAATGCCTTGGTTTTCTTAGCATGCACGTAACCTATAGCTCATACCGTAGTAGGCTGTGTATAAAAGAAAATGATTTACTTAGTTTGACAGTTGCACCATGACGAAGTGGCAGCGTATTCGTGATTTGTCCCGGTGGACAGTAAAAAGGGTATTAGACCGAGAAAAGAAAGGACAACTATCCGCGAAGGTGGCCACAGGTCGTCTAAGGTCAGCTCGGGTTCCGAGGGTTATCGCTGCTATCAAAAGGAAGATTCGGGTGAATCCAGTGCGTTCAATAAGGAACATGGCAAAGGAACACGGGATCAGTGATTTTACGGCACGGAAGATCGTAAAGGAAGATTGCGGGGTGAAGTCGAGGGTACGGAAAAAAACTCACATGATTACCAACCGCATCCGGGAGCTACGAGTCGAACGATGCAAGAAAATCTTGAACTTCCTTAAGCGAAAAAATCCGGTAATTCTATTAATCGACGAGAGCATGTTTACCGTCGATCCCGTATCAAATTCCAGAACCGACCGGTATATTAGTTCTCTTCCGGTAAAAAACGTGGCCGACGAGCACAAGAACGTGTATCTGACCAAGCATCCTGCTAGCGTTATGGTGTTTGGATTGGTGGCTTCCGATGGCAAAAAATGGACCCAGTGTTCATTCCAGAAGGCGACAAGGTCAACACGGAGGTCTAAATCGGGATTTCAAGTAAGTATGTTCTTCCGTGGATCAAAGAACAGTACGGTCCGAAGCCAAATGTTGTATTTCAACAAGATGGGGCTCCGAACCCACACCTCGAACCGCACTCAGAAGTGGTTGCAGGAACATCTTCCGTTCTGGGCGAAGGATATGTGGCCGCCATCCAGCCCCGATCTTAATCCGCTGGATTACTCAATATGGCGCGTCATGAAGGCCAAGGCCTGTTCTAAATGCTACCCGAGTACAGCAAGCCTCAGACAAACATTGACCCGTATCTGGAGATAAATGGATCCAGACTACATTATTAGAACCTGCAGTGCATTCCGGAAGCGTGTGGAGGCCGTAATTGCAGCAAATGGAAACTTAACATAGTTTAAGACTCTGAGAAACATCTCCCATTGAAAAAATAAAAAAAAACCCGAAGACGAATTTTTTTAGATTTTTTTTAAATTTTGACGTTGCTCAATGGTGCAAACATTATCACGCATACGGTATTATAGCATTTCCTCGAAACTTTTAAAAATCATAAACTTCACGTATGACGTAACAAAAAACTCTTTGAATGTAGTATTTGTTGTTTGCTGCGCAATGTTTGAAAATAATAGATTTTTTTTTCTTTGATTTGTTTTCCGTCGATCTTGTTTTCCGTGCTGAGCACCAATGCTACCGACGCCAGAGAGGCAGCTCTCACACCTGGACCCTACCTATCGACCCATCAACTCATGAACCGGGGACCAACGGCTTTACTTCCCTCTCGAAAAATGCCTAAAGTTTCCTTAGCACTTCATTTACCCTTCATTTTACCCTGAGATGCTCGGAAGTTCACTCAGAATTTCCTTGAAACTTCCTCGGAACCTCCCTGAGGTTCTCAATGATCTACCGCAGGGATCGGGTGCTACTCAATTTTCTGTGAGTAAAACACACGCTATTGGGAGACAGCACTTTCATTTCTGAAGAGACGTGGAAGAGCATTATGAATCGTGCAGTATATTTCATTCTGCTTGTGCTGTAGAGCTGTCACTCCAACGGTGTTAAGTCTCTTCCTCTTTTGCTTATCTGAGTAGCACTGTACGCCATCTAGGTACGGTAGGAACCTACTGCTGTTTTGACGTAGGACTATGTCTGTGATTTCTATATGGGGGTACACTTTGTGAAAACCGAAAATGGAACATGTAACAAAATATGAAAGATTTTGAACGTTAATAACTTAGCTGCCCGTGGACCAATTTCAATAATTTTATTACCAATCGCTCAGAAATGTTTACACGCGTCGATAGCAATAAGAAACTATTGAAAAAGTGGTAAATGTCAAGCATTGTTCAAAAGCGTTGAAATAATTAAAAAAATCATCGTTCACGTACATGCATATGCTGCTTCCCCAACACAGTCATCAGAGAGTCGTTGGTAGACGAAAAAAGTCCAAGTGGCATTCGCCTCCGATCTTCGGGCGTATGCGAATAGGGAGGATGCAGTTGGGTAACATTTTGCACACTCATCGTCATATTCAGAACCACACGCCCCCAAAATGCTCTCCAGAGTTGTCCAAACTTGGAAGCAGGGGTGCAAGTGATTTTGATCGGTTCTCTTCATCGACTTTCTGTTTCGTTAATAACTCGACGGCAAACACATTCATTGATACGTTTGTTGTTCTGGATGATAGAAGAGCAAAGCAGAAGTAGTGCGAAATAGGTTAGTGAAGCCATGGTCATCAAAAGAGGAAATCGATGAAGAGAATTAACTTTCAGCCCCTTAATGCAGTCGTTGTCATAGCCAGTGTTGGTAAAATATCAAAAAATCAAATCTCAGCAATGCTCAAGATCACGCTTGATTTTCGTAGACAAAAATCAACAAGCATACAGCTGCGGTTGATTTTGCAAGCTCTAATACCGCAGTTTGGAATATCAAGCTAACAAAACTCACCAGCTGTAAATCTCAACAAACTGTGGTGAGATTGAGTTTAATGATTTTTGTTTTCCACCCGAACGCAACCAAAACTTCCATAACGGCTTGGAGCAGTCGCTTCGTGTCTGCCATCGCAGAGTAGTAAAAAGAGATAGCAAACTATACTTGCTCTTTCTAAGAAAACGATTTGCAACGGAATCATTTTTGTGTCTAGTCAACTATCCGCTTGATTTTTGCAGGTTGTGATTTGTGAATAGTCTCACAGTTATCGCTCAGCTTCTGAGACGTGCAGACGTTTTTTTCGATTGCGCTTATCACTAGTGAAGCATTTACGTTTTGGATACCCTTCTATCCGCTGCGCCGCGTGGCGTGCAAAAGTGTTTCGCGATGAGGCGAGAAAACACTTTTAAGATTGACTATTCGCAGTTCTCCGTCAAGCCGTCGGTCGGCTAGCGCTTCAACGGAGATTTTCCTACACGAACCCATGTCAATATTCCAATTGGGGGAGAGGCGAAGGAAGAGAACCGTCATCACGCAGCTGCAGACAGAGCAAGACGAAACGGTAGCAGAGCCACGAGCGATCGAGACCGCACATGATGGACTACTTCTCGACGCTGTACTCGGAGGAGGAAACAGAAGAGAATGAGAACAGTTTCGTCTGCGAGAGTGTTATCCCACCCAACGACCCATCGAATGAAGCCTGCACGGACAACACTAAGACGGCAGAAATCTGGTCTGCAATAACAGCGAGCGCCCCACGAAAATCTCCCGGCTGCGATGGTATTCCGAGAGAGTTCTACCACCGCATGTTCGACGTCATCCACCGAGAGTTGAATCTGTTGCTGAATGAGGCACTCAGCGGTAATCTTCCTCCAGCGTTTGTCGATGGCATCATCGTGCTGGTTAAAAAGAGAGGCGGCGACGACACAGCCCGTTCATATCGTCCGATCTCGCTGCTCAACAGCGACTACAAGCTCTTATCCTGCATTCTCAAAACCAGACTCGAGCAAGTGATGAGAGAGCACCACGTCTTGAGCGACGGGTAGAAATGCTCCAACTCAGAGCACAACATCTTTCAAGCCACTCTTGCTCTCAAGGACCGGATAGCACACCTCGGCC